AAGCCAAAACGTTAATACAAAAGCCGCAACACAAATACCAAAGCTGAAACATTAATACAAAAGCTGCAACACAAATACAAAAGCCGCAACAGTAATACAAAAACCACAACAGAAATACAAAAGCTGCAACACTAATACAAACGCCAAAAATACAAAAGCTACAACAGTAATACAACAGCTGCAACACCAACACAAAAGATGCAACACTAATACAAAATCCGAATGTGAATCAGCCATTGATGCAATATCAGCCAAAGTCACTTATTAGACTGAATTAAGAAGATTTTGACAAAGCAACTGCACCTGATAGAACTACTTGCTACAACCGAGGTGAATGGGTTATTATATGTAAATATGTTGAACATAGAAGCAGCTGGACTGCAGCAGCAGAAGACCAAACCAGGTGTCAAATATTAGCCAAGAAAATGTGAGGCTATACCATTTAAACCAGAACCAATTTGGACAATTAGACTACAAGAAGATGGAATTGTAGACGTATAGAGATATGACGCCACTGTAGCTGACCACATCCAGCCCTTTGTGACCACAGAGAGCTGATCCTATGATAGATACTTCCAACAAGACAATGCACTATATCACAAACCACAATTGGTCTAAAACTGGTTTGTGGAACTGCTCTTCCATGTCTCCCACAGTCACTGATGTTTTTGTTGTTGATGTAACATCTGGTTTGTTATTTTATAAATTAGTAACAAATACGGGATGCAGTCATACAGTTGAGTTTCACAGGAATATTACAAATCTTTGGTCACATAAAAACCAAGACAGCTCTAAATGCAAAATTTAGTTAAAGATTCTCCTACTCAAGTGCCTGGTGATCATATTGCAGTTATCAGGTTGAAGGCGTGGAGGAAAAAAAACAACAACAAAAAACAAGACAAAACAATGAAAAACAGCAAAAAATTCAAAAGAAAACAATAGAAGAGTAGAAAAGTAAAAAACTATTGATGGAGATAACTTCAAAATAGTCTGAGACATTAAATCAACTGGAAGGAAACACAAGTTTCATGTCACTGTTTAACATTTAGAAAGTAGCATGATTATTATTATTAATTAATGTTATCATTGTAGTTATGTAATATTGAAACTCAGTTATTACACCACATGTTTTCCATCCTCATCCATCCAACTCCATAAATTAAACCAGAGGAGTATTTATGGTTTTTATGTGAAGTTTTGCATGAATATAAACACCATTTGATTTTTGTTTGTACCCACTAATATAGTCTTTTTTTCCGCCTCGTTTATATCTTTTCATGTATTTTGAGTTCTGGGTTATCTCCTCCATAAATATGTATTCCCAATAGAAGTCAAACCAATCTTTCCGGCTTGAACTCTAATATCATGCTCAAGTTGTTTTGTTTAGTTTTTATTGTTCTTTTATGGTTATTTTGAGTGCTTGCTCCAGACGCTTTTTTATTGCAGGATGACTCATGCTCTTTGCTTTGCCATGCTTACTGTAAGGCAGACTCAATATTGAATTTCCTCTCTAAGGAACATAAAGTCTGCAATTAGTGGCACTGGATTGTGGATCAGTGTCTCCATCATGAGGCTGTTGGTGTAAACTACAAGTTCAAATTTATATTTTTTTTTCTATTCCACATGAAAGAAACAAATAATCGGACTTATTCAGGAAAGCTGACTTTAGATTATATTCCAACTAAATTAAATGTGCTCTCAGATACAAAGAAAGCATATTAGTTTGTCAACAAGTGTTGAAACCTGTGGATTCCACACTTATTGTCATGATTATCAATGTTAACAATATTTCAATGCCAGATCTGTGGTTTCTTGTGTTGGATACAATGGAAAACATCTGACATTTTCAAAATAAAGGAAAATGTGAAAATATGCTGCACAATTAACCCTTTCCTAGCACATTGACACGGTCAATGTTTTTCTCCTATAGGTATAGCATGGAATAAACTCACAGAAACTGTAGAAGCTCTGAAACCTGCAGCAGCTATCTAACATTAGTACGTTTCCAGTTTACCTTTCGTCCCACTTTCATAATTATTTTGATTTTTGAAAAAAAATCTATCAATCATTTAATCTTTTTTTATATATGCTCATTTAATTTTAAAGTGTCAATGTCATTCTCTAACTATTTGTGTTGCCTCTGTGCCACTGCAGTGCACTTTCCTTATTTTCTAATGTACAGCACTTTGAATTGATTTGCCATTGAAATGTGCTATATTTTTAAACATTTCTTTCCCTTACTTACTTGCCTTAACCATGACCAACCTTAGCATGTATTTCAGAATTGAATGTGATAGGTCAGCGCAAAGCATTGCATTAATTTCAAGTTATTGGAAAAAAGTTTTATAAATAATTTTACTATAAAAAATCTGAGAGGTTTGACATGCCTTTGTAGCTTGAATTAACACTTAGTCAAACTAGATTTTTCGCACACATTGATGTTAAGTTCTTTATTTGCCTCCAAAGTGCAGCCTGAGGCTCATTTGGAAGTTGTTTATGGTAATAGTATAGAATAGTAAAAATGTTTCCCTCCAGGAAATAAAGTTGAAGCTTCTCTATTTTAATGGTTTTAGATAAGTGAATAGTTGGAATCTTTTTCTTTTCTCATTAAACCCAGCTAAATGGAAAAAAACAGAGAAAAACAGGAGAAAAACAGATTCAGCACCAGGCCTCTGCTCTCCATCCTTGTCCATCATGATTTTAGTCTGCTCTTTATGTTTCCACTAGACAGGAGTCTTTTCGTGACTTTCATAAGACTTGTCTTAACCTTACTGTGTGTGTAAAACCAAACTGCCACCTACTGTCAGTGCTGAGTTGGCTCTGACAGTATCTTTTCTGGCAATGTGGCAATAAGAATAATTCTTGATGCTAAAAAGAGAACCTAACAGATTTTGCTTTCACGAGTGGAGCAGTATGGCTATCACTATAGTTTTCCGCTTGATTTATGCATATAAATAGCTTTATTATAATTCATGCAGAGAGTATTACAGATTGTATGGACACTGCAATGTAAGTAGAACACGAAAGGATAAACAGAAAAGAAGGAGAAAAGATGAAAGAAAGAGGAGATAAAAGCGGAGATAAAAAGGAGATAAAACATCTTCAGGCTGCTTCATCACCTGCAAAGAGATGTTAAAAGAACAGCACAAACCAATGGATATAGTATAAGAGATACAATAAAGTAGCACCTTGGTACTATCGCTGAAGTATAAGTAGTATTATTTAATCTGACATGTATACTGTGGTAGCTGAAGGTAAGAATATGGGCTTTCTGTATGGAAGTGAATCTCTAAGTATCTGGAGCTAAGCACCTGTAGTTGTTTGTGAGAGTGCACTTGTACTTGTAAAGTTTATCTAAAGGAAAAATGCTCAATAGTGGTTGTGAAGAGATGGAGACACGCCCCTCCAGAGAACCAAGGCGAGTGCCGGGGGACTCAAAACCCCAGACACCCAAAGGGGCCCCTAGAGCAAAGGCGTCCAGGAGGGGCCAACCCAGGAAATTCGACCGGCAGCCAGCCACGCCGAAGTGGATACGGCCATGGGCCCCAGGGACCCGAGACCCCAGGGGCGCCCCACCCCCCCGACAGGAGTCCCACCCGGGGGGCCAGGCCCCGCAGAGCAGCCGCCAAGAATAAGCCAGTACGCGCCAGGTCATCCATCCCCAAACACCGAGTATGACCGATGTACCGGTGATCCCAAGCACCAGCCAGCAGAGGGGGGGCAGGACGGGGGGAAAGGGCTCTGCACTTAGTGGAGACTTGAGATGTTTTTGGTTCAGACCCCAACCTGACAAGTAAAATTACAAAAAAAAGAAAACACAGTCTCAATCACGACTGCCCAACCTATTCCCCTCATTCGCAACACACAGTCTTTGTGAAGAGGAAGAAAAAAATCATGGAGGCACACATAACACTCACATCCAATAATCTCGGGACCGGCTACCGGCGCCGCGGTCCTGGGCTACCGGATGACCCAATAGGTGGACCTAAAATTCGGATGGGGGGTAGGGGAGCGGTGTCACCACCACACTAACCCATCTAGCTTCTGCTTCTGGCCCGGCCCCCTAACCCCACACCCGGACCAGACAACCCCCAGTAAAAGCCTCCTAAGCCACCCAACCAGAGCCTCCCACCTGGCCACTTCCTCCCCCTCAATACCCCATTCAATCCACCCCCCTTTGGGGAGAGCAGCAATGACAGCCCCAGCACCGCCAGGTGCACCCAGGCCCCACAACAGAACCCCGCCAAGACACCAGACCACATAGACTGTTGCTAAATTGAAGCTTAGGTATGGATTGCATAATTAAAGGCAGACTGTGCAACTTTTGGCCTCTAGAGGCGCTAGACCTGTAACTGCTCCTCTCACCAAAGGTTCGAATAATCTTAATTTGCCTAGATATGGATTCTAGAGCCACTATTTAGATTTAAGTATGAGAAAGGCAATGAGATAATCTTACCAAAGGTAAAAAAGGATTAGGCGAACTACAGTTGACTGAAAATTAGAAGTAATTTAAAAAACAAAACAAACTACTTTAGATTTATTCACTTTCATTTGAAAAAAGTATTGGACTTTGGAGAATTTCAGGAAGAGAGCCTAAGGGGAATAGAAAGATTCTTTCAAACACCTAATTCCCAAAAAGGCATTTTAGGATGTCTGGTGCAGAAAATGGAGCTCAAGGTTAGTTTTCAAGCTTTTCTGAAAACTAAAATGTTTTCACCAGAAAAAACTAAAGCTGTATAACCATAAATACAAATAGTTGATGGAACAGGTTTTCATTACCTGGAAACAGCCTGATTTTACATTCAAGTGATTGGTCACTGGTACAGCAAACATACGTATTTACATTAGTAAAAATCGATTTGACTGTAATAAACCGCTGACATATGTACAAGTTAAGTAATACACTCTTCTAGCACAGATGACAATGTGCCACAATCATTTTCCCTGAAAGGCTGTGTGCCATTTCAGATATGGGCCACAACTGTGTAGCGAGGGGGAATGTCACACGTATGTCACTACAGATTCTCTGTTTCTGCTTGATTACATCAGTCTTCATCTGCATCTCTGAATCCTGCAGAGACAGCGATCCTTGCTGTCACTAGTAATTCATTCATTTTTGGAACTGGGGTAAAACTCTGTTCAAAGATGCTCTACACAACGCACATTTAAAGTTTTCAAACTCCATGAGGATTATGTACTTTTATCACATTACAACCAATTTATACTATTTGAATGATAAAGCTTCACACAGAAGTATATTATTGTGAAGAGAATGGGAAATTATTCATGGCTATCCAAGACTTTTACAAGTATCAAATTAATCTGGTACCCCGAAATAAAGATCTATTTGATTAGAATAAATTTACCAAGAAATGGCCAAAAAAATGTGAAGTGGGAAGAGCATCAGAGAAGTAAGTAAAGTCAATTTATTGAATGCCTTTTACAGACAAAACCATTAAAAAGTGCTGAATAGACCAATAAAAGCCCAAATAAAATCACAATAATGAAAATCAGAGAGAAATACATTAAAATATTACAGTGACAAATTAATTAATAAAAAATTAATAAAAGGGCAGAAAAGCATCCAAGTGTCATGATCTTGGAGCTGATGACTGGCTTGTTTTATTCACCTGCCTAACTCCGCTCAGTTTCTCATTGCCGTCCATCTGAGCCGCCTGCTCCTGCTTGTATTTAACCAGCCCTCTAACCAGTCATCAGGGCCATATGATTGAAGCCTTTGATGAGAGTTCTCTAGTGTACCTGGTTGTGTTTTGAGTGCCTGATCCGGACTCATTCTGAGGTCTTCGACACCGCCTTTGTCTTCATCCTCTGGATTGTCCTACTTGGATCTGATCTCCTTCCAGTTCTGCAGTCTTCAAGGCTTCAGCGACTTACACACTGTTGCTACATGCATGCTCGGTGCGAGGGATGGCAGGGAGCCACTGAGTCGATGCAATCAGCTCGTTTTCCTAAATAGAAAAAAATTGACGAAGCTGACTGTGTAACCTTTAGGAATAAATTGAATAAAACTTTTATAATTAGAACAAATTTAGATCAAGGTGCTATTTTCTTGTCGCAAGTGTCAGGATCCGGGACTTTGCCCACCAGAGGGCGCAGTGGATCCAAGCCTAGGGAGCTTGGACTCAGCTTGATCAGCTGTTTGACATTCTGCTTATTAAGGAAGCTCCCTATATAAGCTGTATGTGATTTTCTCTCTGTGCTGGATCGTGTGTCTTACCTGTGCCATCATGCCTGTCTGAGCCTTGAACCTGAAGATTCCTCTGAGTGCCAATAAACATTGGACTTTTTATCCTCCCTCTGTGTCTGTGAGTCTGCATATGGGCTAGTAAACCATTGCATCATGACAGCAAGGTTAATTCACGGTCACTTCTTGGCACATTCACATTAGCAAAACCATTAGCAAAACATTTCAGTGTATTCTCATTATCAGTTCGTATTAAATCGTACGAAAAGTTATGCGCAGTATTTCGTACGTTTGAGACGTTTTTTTTGTCGTATTTCGTCGTATTTTTACGTCCCTCCTCGAGACAAGATATCCGTGCGCATGCGCATCTTATGCACGATTCAATAGCATAAAATTTAACATACAATTAACCCTAACATACAAAACAGCAAGCAACCTAGTGAGAGACATCATGAAGTAATTTTTGCACTGTCCGTCCCAGTTTTACGTCCGTCCGCGGAACTGCCTTTTTCGTCTGTCTGGCTGCGCATGCGCACTGATCTGTTTTTTCGAGGAAAAACGTCAAAAACGTACGAAATACTGTGCATAACTTGTCGTACGATTTCATACGAACTGATAATGAGAATATGTTGAACCTTTGGCTACATAAAAACAACATATTTTGCATTTGCTCCTGTAAAAAAATTAAGAATTAACCTATTATAATCTTTGTTAATCTGCTACCTATTTTTAAATGTTTTTCATGAAATGTATATATATTATATATATGTGTGTGGGGGGTAAACATGGCTTTTAAGATTTTTTGTGTTATATTTCATGTCTTTTTATTTTTGCCTTTACTTGCCTTATGGGAAAAAGGCAAGGAAAGGCAAGTTTTTTCATAGCTGAACAAAATACAATTCAAAGTGCTTTACACAGATTAAACAACAAAATTAAAAATAAAAATAAAGCAAGTAAAGATAAAAATGTGTTAAATGAAGGTAGTAAAACATAAAAAAAAACACAGTTGGACCACAAACTCTAACTAATAATACCTGAGTTAACGGATTACTT